TTTCTGGAGTTAGCTCAGTGTTCATGTTTTGTAATGCTTTACCTGTACATCATGCCCATGTCTTTTGTTTTCATATTATGGTGCTGTAGCATGTTGTTTTGATGCTTGCAATATGCCTAGTTGCTGTTTTGGACAGATTGTCGCTATAACTTGTTTCATGTGTGTGTGTTGAACCGTTGCTCCGTTTTGAGTGTGCTCTATATGAATCTTGCTTAGAATTGCATGTAGCTTCATATAATCATGTTGCATCCTTATTTTGAGGTGTTTGCTTGATGTTTGAGTGCATTTTGCATCAATGCCATGTTTGACTTGTGTTGCTCATATCTTCTAGACCGTAGCTCCGAATTAAATGAACTTTATATGTAACTTGACTAGAATCACGTGTAGATTATATTGGTGCATCTTAACTTGCTGTTTAACAACTTGAACATAAGGTTTATTTAGATCTGGACCAATTTCGAAATTTGCATATGAGGACTTACCGGAATTGTTATATGTTGTTCCCGGCCTCATTTAAACTTGCCTTGATGTGTTGCTCTTGTTTGCATCATCTCTTGTTATGAGTAGCTTCATGTAGTTTTGTCATGCATCATGCTTGTCGTGCATCATGCCTTGTTCATGTGTGGTGTGTTTACCATGTTGTGTGCTTCTTCTCGATAGTTCCCGTTTCGTTGTGTTTGTGAGGATTCGTTCGTCTACGCTTGGTTAGGCTTCATCCGTTCGTCTTCTTCATGGACTCGTTCTTCTTCCTTGCGGGATTTCAGGCAAGATGACCACTACCCTAGATCTCACTACTATCATTGCTATGCTAGTTGTTTCGTTCTATCGCTATGCTGCGCTACCTATCACCTGTTTATCAAGCCATCTCAGATTGCCATGAACCTCTAACCTTTGACACCTTTCCTATGCAAACCGTTGTTTGGCTATGTTACCGCTTTTGCTCAGCCCTCTTATAGCGTTGCTAGTTGCAGGTGAAGTTGAAGATTGCTCTATGGTGGACAGGATTTTGGTTGGGATATCACAATATCTCTTATATTATTAATGCATCTATATACTTGGTAAAGGGTGGAAGACTCGGCCTTTTGCCTAGTGTTTTGTTCCACTCTTGCCGCCCTAGTTTCCGTCATACCGGTGTTATGTTCCCGGATTTTGCGTTCCTTACGCGGTCGGGTGATTTATGGGACCCCCTTGACAGTTCGCTTTGAATAAAACTCCTCCAGCAAGGCCCAACCTTGGTTTTACCATTTGCCTCACCATCACCTATCCCTTTCCCTTGGGTCGGCCAACCCAAGGGTCATCTTTATTTTAGCCCCCCCGGGCCAGTGCTTGTCTAAGTGTTGGTCCAAACCGGGCAGACTGCGGGGCCACCTCGGGGCAACTCGAGGGTTGGTTTTACTCGTAGGCTGACCTATCCGGTGTTGCCCTGAGAACGAGATATGTGCAGCTCCTATCGGGATTGTCGGCGCATCGGGCGGCTTTGCCGGTCTTGTTTTACCATTGTCGAAATGTCTTGTAAACCGGGATTCCGAGTCTGATCGGGTCTTCCTGGGAGAAGGTCTATTCCTTCGTTGATCACGAGAGCTTATCATGGGCTAAGTTGGGACACCCCTGCAGGGTATAATCTTTCGAAAGCCGTGCTTGCGGTTATAGGCAGATGGGAATTTGTTAATGTCCGGTTGTAGATAACTTGACACCAGATCCGAACTAAAACGCATCAACCGCGTATGTAGCCGTGATGGTCTCTTCTCGGTGGAGTCCAGGAAGTGAACACGGTTTCTGGGTTATGTTTGACGTAAGTAGGAGTTCAGGATCACTTCTTGATCATTGCTAGCTTCACGTCTGTTCCTTTTGCTCTCTTCTCGCTCTTATTTGCGTATGTTAGCCACCATATATGCTTAGTCGCTGCTGCAGCCTCACCACTTTACCCCTTCCTTTCCCTTTAAGCTTTGTTAGTCTTGATACCCATGGTAATGGGATTGCTGAGTCCTCGTGGCTCACAGATTACTACCACAACAGTTGCAGGTACAGGTTATGCGATGATCATGACGCGAGAGCGATGTTTGCTTGTATTGGAGTTCTTCTTCTGCTTCTTCGATCAGGGGATAGGTTTCAGGTCGGCAGCCTGGGCTAGCAGGGTGGATGTCGTTTGAGTTTCTGTTTGTGTTTCATCCGTAGTCAGATGATGCTCTGATGTATTATGATGTTGTATTCGTGTGGCATTGTATGCCTTATGTATGTATCCCCATCTATTATCTAATGTTGATGTAATGATATCCGCCTTGCAAAAGCGTTTCAATATGCGGGTCTATCCTTGGTGGGACCTTCGAATTCCTTTTAGATAGGGTCGCATATTGGGCGTGACACATGTACCTGGAGTTGATAATGGTTTATAACAGCGATAACCATTTTAAGTTTTTCGCTCCTATGACAACGAGTCAAGTGTTGATGCCAAACACACTGACACAGAGTTATGCGTTGTAAAGGAGAAAGTCTGAAATTATGTAGAAATGCTTGAAGCATAAAAGCAATAGACGAGTGTTTGCAGATCTGCTTATTAAAGGCTTACCGCTCAGCGTGGTCGGCGAACACACAGTCGACATGGGTTTTATGGTATAGTCTAAGATTTCCGGACAATAAAAGGGCCCAAGGTTAAAGAATTTGTTTCAAAACAGAAAGGTACGTTGTGGCTGTCTGATTCTGTCGGCAATTCAGCCGTGACGATGAAACATGTTCTATGCATTGATCTATTATGAAACGAGTAAAGTAAACGTATAAGGTCAAAAGTAAAAGTTGAGATCAAGGGGGAGAATGTTAGGATGATCTCCATCGTGTGGGCCCAACGGCCCATCGGGCCCTTAGATCCACGCCCTGATTGGGGGCGCTCAACCCATTATGGTTGACGGCCCCTTGTCACCTGCACTATATAAAGAGGTGGGGGCGCGACTCACAATACGAGGTTCGTCGCGATGCCATACACCCCACCTACATCCCCTACCGATCTAGGGTTAGTGCAGTGCTGACGGGAAGCACCGCCACCACTACTCTCTGCCATCAGCAGCACCATGGCCGGCACAGGGACCTCCTCGAGCCACAAGTGAAGGTAGGTTTACCGGAATAACTAGCCCAATCCGGTCCAGAGGATCCAACAGTGTTGTGAAGGCGACGACGAGGATTGTGGCACAACAGTCGGCATGGTGGAGAGTGGCGACCAACAGGTCGAGGAGGAGCTACAATGGAGGCCGTGACGAGCTGGTTTGAGGGCCGATGCGGGTGCTGCACTGCGAGGCCACCACCGTGTTGGTCAGGGTACTGCAGCCGCGGCGGTGCGGCGCGGCGCCATGAGTCGCCGGACGCATGTGGACTGCGGCGAGGCACCAACAGTACAGATGAACGTGGAAGCAGTCGGCGGCTCGAAGTCAATGTGCGCCCCGTCGTATGTTTTGGACGAATCGGTGAGGAAATGGATAGAGATCAGACGGCTACAGTGGAGCGCATCTGACGGCTCAGAGCTGACCGGCCGAAACTAGCACCGGCGCGCCGACGCCTATCGGTCCCCATGTATGAATTGTTTGGTTCGAGGCTCTGACTTCCGGTTTCCTAATCAGTTTGGGTTGGGCGTTTTCGATTTTGGGAACTGACGTAATCAGAAGACGCGGCTACGGAATACGTGGTGGGCGTACCAAACGACGGATGCCGTTTCGGAAGGCAATGTAATCGGAAGTTGCGGTGATCCCTCCGAACCAAATGCGTCGTATATCTCTGCCTATGTAGCTTTGCTTATCATGAACTTATCTCAAGCCTTTCTTTTGGCATATGAAACTACCTTAAATGTAATATATAACGCTATGTATGAACATAATTTCTAAATATCTATTTTCTTATGCTTTAAAAATTATTTAATGATCTGTCTCTGAATATTCTAAGTTGAATGGTTTGAAAACTCGGTTCACTCTCGCCCTTTGCGCCATCGGCGCAACGGGACATCTAGTGTTTCCGAAGCTTGCAATTTGCCCAGGCTTGGAGCATCTCAGAAGTTCATGTTGAGACAGACGATCCGTGCGGACGACCAAGCTTTGGCTATAAATGGGATCCTAGAAGGAGATTAAATATTTTGCTTGTTTAAACTTTAATGTCTTTCCCGTTTCATATTGCCTGAGGGTATGTAATAAAGTTGCAGACGCTCTTACGATGTACTCCCTCCGTTCCTAAATATAAGTCTTTGTAGAGATTTCACTATGAACCACGTACAGATGTATATAGATGCATTTTAAGTGTAGATTCATTCATTTTACTCCGTATGTAGTCCACTTAGTGAAATCCCTACAAAGACTTATATTTAGGAACGGAGGGAGTATATGGTGCATGATCAGGTCTCTCATCCCCAGCCGTATGGCCGGACGGTGCCCCTGAATTCGTGCATGAATTGGTAGCCAGCAATGTTGCTGAGCTTTTTGGTTAATGTAATAAATATGGTTCCATCTCAAACAGAAAAAGAAAAAACAACCTCACATTAACCAAACCAACTGCAGGAAAATTGGTCCATGGTTAACATTGCAATCATTTTCATTGGAAAATATTCTCTGAGCAAACACATGAAACAGCAGCTATAATCCTGACCAAAAAAATGTAGCACAAGAAATTAATAATATGTTGAATCTAAAGGGAAAAAATAAAACATCTGCCACAGATAGTCTGAAAGGAGTGGTAAACAAGAAAATATTCTCTCGCAGCAAGCGTAGCATATATACAATAAACATATATTTGCAATTGGAAGTACATGATCAGCAACTCAAGATGCTTCTGAGTTTCAGCTTCATTGTAAGTGAGCTGCGCTGCATTGTTAGCTTCACCAAGTAGCATATCAACAATATTCCCAGTATCTTGGTCTCGTGATCTGCTGATAATGTCCTTTGGATCCAAGATAACACGATCGGTCTATCTCCAGTCCTTGGATGCCCGTGCTTGGTGCTGATATCTAAACCCAAAGGCATTCATCTCAGTCACAAGGACCTCAATGGCCTGCACAGTTTCTTCCCCATCTTGTCGCGGAAAACAAAAAGGTTGTGGGTTGGAAAGAGTTTCACTGCATCGAAGCCGAGCTTGCTGTTGTGCCCAATCTTCTTAGCCTTGCGGTTGTGAGCAGGAGCGCCGTCTGCCTCAGAGGTCACCCTCTTGACCTCCTCCAGCCAGGCCATGGCCCCATCTCTGTGGGACCCAGCCTGCTTGGCATCAGCGATGATGTCCAGGAAGGCGCACAGCTTGCGCTTGAGCACCTTGTGCTGCTCGCTCCTCCATGCCCTCCATCACCTTGTACTTCTCCAGCAGGTAGCAGCTGGATGCCTTCTGCTTCATAAGTCAATTGGTGTGAGCAGAAAATAGTGGTGTCACCTTGTACTCCATTTGTTTCTATAAAAAAATGCAATGTGTTCAGAACTTGTGTAACAATAGCATTGCTTTGTTTTACTTGTCCTCTACGTTTTTGCATTAGTTATTTACTGTAAGTAGTTAAAAGATAAAAAGCTAGACCCAAATAATGATGTGATCCTTGGTAGTTGGATGAGAAGTATGCTTACAACAATTTTGTCAGTTTAATTAAAAGGAAGCACACACACACATATACAGACACAAAATCAGCAAATGTGCTATATGAACACCAGCAAATAAGTGATAATAATACTCAGTCCAGCAAAGCCATATCTTGCAGAAATTAGGTGTGACATTCCGTAAAATAACATGTTCACAAAGTCAGCCGAATCTATTGGTTTGCTGTCAGTCACCTTAACAGCACATTTCTTTATTGGTCTACTCTTCTCCTGATGCAGTATAGTAACCAGAGTTTGTGTGTCACAAACTGAATCACCCAACACTGCCAAAAAGAAATCACCTAATTGCTTCAAGTTACTAACACAAGTGATGCCCGACATACTATTGAGTTGCTTAAAAATCCAAGGCATTGGAGTTATGCAACTTAATTTCCTGAAATAGAAATTTTAGGCAACTTAAAATTGGTCGATGGACAGCTTAATTTGCAGGTTGCAGTAAAAACCAACTAAGCTGGTTTGGAGCTCAACTTTATGAAACTTAATTGGAATCAGGAGGCACCATACGCATTAGAGTTACGCATAAAAAAAACTATTGTTATGTTCCAGAGCACCTCTTTGACAGAAACAAATCTGTGTGACATAGGAGGGCAGGTGCCGAGTGGCCAATGGCAAGCAGCTTGAAGAGGGCGCTAGTCAAGGTCACTTGTACACAGGAGTTGGCTGCTGGCAGATATAAGTGCCCAAGAATGGTTAGAAACATAGAATGGAATGTTAAGCAACATTAATAATCTTCAGCAACTATCACAACACAAGTAGCATTAATAAGCCTCAAGCAACGACCACAAGTTATGACAATTATTTGAGGTTGCAAGCTAACTACCAAGAGCAGAAATTCATACAAGCGATATATATAGTGCCAGCTTACCTTAGGGAGTAGAGGTTAGCAACTGGGAGGTCATGTAGGTTGCCTAGAGCTCTTGGTCCAGCATTTTCTCACCCTCCCGCACCCATCTCGCCGTCAGAATCTGCGGCACACCTCCACCACGACTACACTGCTATAGCTGAAGAGGGGGTGAGCTGACGGCGATCGTCCCTGGCAGGGAGCTACGACTGACTCAACTTGGGCCTGGGAAGATAGCCTCGCACAATCGACACTAGTAGAAACCTTAGATCAAATCTCATATTCGCCTGCTGCTGCTGTTGGTTGGTAACTTCAAACGTTTCCCATTTCTCCAAGAACCATTTATGAGCTAGCTAATTTCCCTTAACATATGCACACTTGATTGCACGTACATGTGTCAATATTACATTTTGGTACATGCATGTGAGACAATATTTTCCAAGTGATTCTCAGAAGGGACTGCCAATACATTGTCCTAGTACACGACAAGAACTAATAACTAGACCCTTATCCTTGGCCCATCTCTGCTACTTTGACCAGCATTCGACTAATGCGGTGTTGATGAGCAATCACGCTTAAGTATGATCGTTTCTGACTACCACATATAGCGTCTAGCTCTAGCAATTCAATTTTGGTATTCAAATAAATAAAAAGATCACCTTCTCCTTTTTTTCATATTTGAGACTAGTAGTAGTAAACTAACAGCAGGAACAGGACAAGCACGATCAATCAATTCTTTAAAGTCAGACAAGCTTCCAGTTTCCACTACGGTCACGATCAATCAATTCTTTAAAGGGCTCAAGAAGGAAATGAAATGAAGAGCATACCATGCTTGGCCCAGCCTCCAGAAAGCATTCAGCTTCTAGGCCAGCTTCATGGAACCCATCCTGGGAAAAAAAAGGGAAGGAACTTCCTAACTCCAAATTCAGGGCGCCAAACTATCTGTAATATCTTGTTTTAAATAGATTTAGTGTGGCAAAATTATCGCTCGTCTTACCTGTACTTGCAAATCAAAAGTGCAGTGGCAGAACTGCAACGCGGGTCAAAATACCTGATCCAAAGTGTAATTTACCGAAAGGAATATGACTGATAGTACAACACAATCCTCGAAAATAGAAAAAACCAAGATGACAATAATGAGGCACACACAACATTTCTACCTAAGACCCAGAGAAAAACATATTCATGCTACTGTAGGAAAATAAGTGATAAACACATGCAGCAGCACTCCACACAACTATAGTAATAATAAAGCTAGGAAAAAAACACCTCAGGAGTTAAGCATGGTTCTGACTTCTGACATAGATCTAACAAACTTTTCTCATGCCAGTACTGCACTTCACCACATGTTTTGTGAATGGAGATCTGAGGTCTGGCTGGGTCAACTACAAGTAAAAAGGACTTAGTACGCATCAGGCTAACACATTTGAACACCGTAGCCATAATGGGTATAACATAGAGCAAACAGAAAACACAAGTGCATCAGTTGGTTTACAACTTGTAAGATAAATTTCTCTAAAAACCTATCAAACTTGTAAGAGATGCCACAGATAAATATCATGATATTCAAAACATTTATTAACAATTATTTTCGCCCTAAGGCATCAGTACAGGCTACAGTTGAGGGATAAATAAATAAGAATACAAATGCAGTGACTACTGAATTATGGAGGGACCACAGGAACTCCTTGCAGCTACATAGATGATAAATTAGAGTATATATGCCATTAATGATTTACATGGACTCTAGATTTTAGTGATGACGCCATGCATCTTATTCTTCAATTATTAATTAGGACCTGAAGTGAATCATGGCAGGCGAAGCCATCGGCAACTCCTTAGTGATCTCCTCCCTCAACATATCCTTCTCCTCACTGGTCCGTGGATACTGAGAAGGACAGGCCTTGATACTGGGATCCAAGTCCCTGCAGCGCTTACACACCTTCCAATCGTACAGAGATATCTCCTTCATGTTCACTGCAATTTCCATCATGCGCCTAACGTATCGCACAAAGTTGTCCTCAGGTTGGAAGCCGTAGACGGTGAGCTTAACCAGATTCTTGTGCTTAAAATGAACTGTGGATGGTTGCCAGTTTGCCACTCCACATTTGCTTTCTCACAGTAACCAAGTTCCTTACGGACATCCTTGTCTGTCTCCATTTTGCACCAATGATCCCACACCGTGATGCATAGCTCCTTTAGGGAGCTTGCAGCTTCAAGAATGAACATGGTCCAAGCAATATCGCATCCTTCAGGAAGATTATCCAGATTCACAATCTGTAGCTTGCCAAGCACAGGCGCAAGCAGTTTGGGGTGTTCAGGTAGAACCCAAATCTAGCATGGCACACAAGAAGCAAATTAATAACAATTGTGCAAATAAATTACATTACAGCCTCAAGAGCTAGAAAAAGAGTCACTTAAGTTAGTACTCCCTCCATCCGGAAATACTTGTCCGAGAAATGGACAAGTATTTCCTGACGGAGGGAGTATTTACTATTATAAGCAATTAAAAGAAATGAAACATATATAGATGGCGGTTAGTGAGTACCTTTTCACTTTTAAAATCAAGACGGAGGTCGCTTATCCAGGGTACATTAGCAAGGAGCTGACTTAACTGGATATGACTAGTCGAGTTAACACCAACTTGTTCGAGGGTTAGCTTTGAAAGCTGCGGGACAGAACCAAAAATCAGGGGATCTTCTTGGTAAGACCAACCAACATATTTGACACGTTGGAGTTTCGGTAGGCAGTTGAGATGGACTGCTTCAAATTCCCCATAGTCGATGTGGAGTTCAACAAGTTGAGCATGTTCTACTTGAAGCACGGAACAGACCCCTGCGTCACAATAGGTGAGACGCAGAGATTCCAACCGCTTGCAGGTGGTGAGGATATTGGGGATGTCCAGTTCACCAAACCTCAAATTGCGCAGCCACAGATGTGTGAGACCAGCAAACACAACTGGACAATCACCAATCCAAGTATTGAAGCGCTTGGCATAGCAGAGTAGATGGTCTTCAGTGCATTTCATACAAATCTTCTCCGTGAGGACCACAAACTCAGCAACGTCGAGCTTCTTGTGGGTTGCCATGGCGCGGGCGACGGCTTGACTGATGGAGAGACATTCATCAGGCCTCAAACAGAACCTGACCCTCAGCTTGCGGATGGGGATCTCGGGATTCCTCGCACTCAGGACCTTGTCTGTGAGCAGCCACGGCAATGTTGTACTGAAAAATACGATCAATGGTGTCGACATTGGGCTTGATGTAACGCGCAAGGGAACCAATGTCTATGTTAAGCAGCGAGAGCATGAGGGGAAGCTTGAGCATTCTCTTGGAGAGGATGCAGGTTCTCAAGGCATCTAGCGTGCCAACCCTCTCCAGGATGTTGAGTAGAATGTGATCGGGCAGCTTGCTAAGCCTATCAACTTCGGCTTCGGCAGAAGCTGCTTCACGGCGGCGAGCTGTGGCTTTCTGCATCACATTAATCAAGGAAAGAAAATGAGCCTCGTGGACATGAACAAAGGAGGAGAAAGCATATATATATAGAGGAAAAAACTTACATTATTGTTTTCCATCTCCGCAAATTCTCCCATTGGCCAGGGATAGCCTTATTAGATGGATTAAAGAAGTCGAAATCTCCTGCGGCTAGTCCGCTAACAACGGTGGCACAACAATTGGACGACTCGATCACATCCTGATTAATAACTACATCTCGGGACATAAACAAACTTTGCTAGCTCATTTTCTCCTCT